CCGCCCCGCCGCGGGCGCCGCCGGGAAGTGCAGTCCGAGGAGCCTTCGCAGCCCCAGAGGTTGAGGAAATTTAAGCAGGGCCGAAAGGCGCCATGGGAAATGTAGTCCGAACACGTGGGAGAGGCTGGCGGCCGGCCTCCTCCGCAAGGGGCACTGGGAAATGTAGTCCTGAACGCGTGGGGAGTAAGGGAGGCATGTGGGGCTTACCACCAAACCGTTCGCGCTCAGTGTGGCAGCTCAGATCGCAGATCAGCCAACCTGGCCCTGAGTGCGGGGCCTAGGAGCTGACTGCCTCGGTTGAGACCACTGTGACCTTGAGCATGTTATCCGAGTTTGTGAACCTAATCCATAGGATTGTATTTAGTGAATAAACGTAAAAATCGTCTTAAAGCGGGAAAATAGCGCCACACATTTAGAAATCATCAATAATATCACATGGTGTTTGGCTAAAAACCCTGAGTAAGGATCAGCAAGATGTTGATCGATCCCTACCGAAGATAGGTACCCTGGTGCGAGGCTGGGATTCTCTATTTTAAAACTTGGAAATATTACTCAAATAGAACTCCATAATACACTTTTTAAAAATTTAAAAAAAGACAGTGGTGAGGTTTAGAAAAAGCCTCACGCAGAACTATTAGAATGTCATCATCTATATTCCATCTCTTAATTTTTTGAAGCTCCAAAGGGGATTCTAGTGCAATCAGAGTCAGGAACCACCATAACAACCAGTGCCTGGTATGGTACCTAAGCACTCTGGCCTTCTCTCCAGTTGAGATCTTAAGCTGGACCCAAGAAGGTAATGCGGATGAAATGGAAGTTATCTTTTCCTTCAAGATATTTCTGTGAAAGTGTTTCCTGCTTAACTGGACTTTCTCAGCCGGTAGCCAAACAGCTACCAAACATGCTTTTTCATCAAACCCTCACAGCCAAGGAGTAGGTATTAGTTATTTCCACTTTACAGCTCAATAAAAGCAGAGCTCTGAGAGTATAGTCACACACCTGGTTAGAGACACCTTGTCTCATTAACCCATTTCCCATTTAGAAAAAAAAAGGTACAGCTCGCAGCCAGCATTAATTTAATTTTACATAGACACGCTCTTTGAGGCTGAAGCAAATCTGACTGGTTTTCAATGGAAAAATATAAAAATTGTTCTTAGAGTTATTTCTAAACAAAATTTGTCTCTAATCCTAATGTAACAGAAATGTACACATAAATCAGATTCATCAAATGAATCTTTGGCTAACAACTGTTTGAGAATGATGTTAATATCATGAATAGAAATGCTGTTTTCTAATATTTGACATTTTCAGTGATTAAAAAATCACTACATTTTATAAATGGAAATACCACTACGAAGACAGAATGCTATCAAAAGAATGATGTCATTTGTTTCCAAAGACTATTGATATACTAGAGTGACGCAAAAAGAATAAAGCGAGATATTTTGTGGCAAACCTTGGGGGTAAGGTTAGAACTGTTATCCACGAGTTATCTCAGGCTAAACACTGCAGCCACAAGTGCCACCAGCAAGTATTCTTGGGCAAATGGGAAATGGGTTAAAGAAGATCCAACCATAGCAGACAGACAAGAGGATGGACCCAGGTTCTCCTACCCCAATTGAATGTCTGCTCTTCAGTAAGAGAGACGGAAAATCCTTTGTTTTCATATAATTCACAAGAGATTTCAGAATTTCCCCCCCAGAGATGTTCCTCCAAAGCATGTAAATTTTTTGAAGTGTTCATTTTCCTTGGACCAGTTCAAGCCTCAGTCACTCTAGCCTGGGTGTACCATGGAGAGTGGTCAATACTTCAGATGCAATTGGAAGCACCTGGAGGCCATTCTCATGATTCTCTATTACCAACACGCAATTTATTTTTGAGCACTCACAATCACACTGGCGATATTTTTACCTCTTTAATAGTGAAATCTCAGTTGCAGTTTTCTATTGTAAAATAGTGCTTTAGTGCAGATCAGTAAAAAATACATAAAGAAATCAAAAGGACTTTTGTATGAGAAGCCTCTTTATGGGGGTACCTCCCTTTATTGGTATAAGAACAAAAGTTCCAGATTAACCATGCCATTGTTTTATTTTCACAATGAATTTTTTTCTCAGGTTCCTTTGGAATTAAATAGATTTATTTATAAATATATCCTTCTACATTAAAACTACTTCCCAACCCACAAAGACCTCACTTACTGTCAACTATTTACTTATTTTATCCAGTATACAAAAATCTCACCTGTCAGCAGTTAAAAAACAAAGAACCTAAAGGTTCTCAAATGACTTTCCACCAAATCACCAAAATAAAATCACCAATATCCAAAACTTTTTAAACCAATAAAAATTTCTATTTTCCAAAAAAGTATTTACAGACTAAAATTCAAATTCTAGATTGCCATCGATATAATTATACAAGAGCATACAAAGCCCTAGGAAAGACAAAGTATTTCATTACAAAATATCTGTGATCAAGAAAATATTACTTGCCTTTAAATAAAGAATAGGAAAAGTAGCAGAAAAATAAATATGTTTAAAGATGTCCATTTTCATAAGTAACAAAAAAGTACACAAATAAGGAATGAAGCTAAAATATGGATGAGCTACAAAATGATTCTAGCAGTGTTTATACAAATTTGTTATAAAGCAAGGTCGTTCAGACTCTTCTCTCTTGGTATTTAGTTATAAAAATACAAAAAGAACCTGGCCAAAGGATTTCACTGAGCTGAATCCATGATACAAATAGCCAGTAGACAGAGGCTGTAGCTGTAAGCCTGGCCTATTGTTACCAGCAAAACCATTGCACCAAATAACCTAAAACCTGCCCTGCCCTCCCCAAGAAATTCTCAAAATGAGAACTGGTCAACTGATGATCATATTTAAAAAAAAAAAAAATCACTGTAATATTCTACTATAAACGAGTAGTTCCAGTTTTAACAGCACTCTTAGGAGCCTCAGGATGAAATACTCTGTGCTGTGTTTTATAAAAGTCCAACCCCGCTTTTAGCTCATGTGAATTACATTTACCTGGAACTCCAGTTTTCTTTTAAATCCATTTTTCCACTCACAAGTATCTGATCTCTGTCTGATTCTGTTTCCCTAAACCCTCTATCTCTTCCCTCCAAGCTTTTATTAGTCTCTGGCATCCCTGGACATCTCCATCAGTGCTAGCTCCAACTTCCAGCAGCTGGGACCAGCTCTGGCCATCTCCCCCACTTTTCCTTGCACCCCCGTGAAATCCCAACACACAAACACAGTTTTAGCAGAAGGCAAACAATATATTCAGAATAAATTCATTCTGAAGACTTTAAAGAGTGTCCTAGAGGATTTTCACTGAAAAGAAGATCAACAAAGTCCTATGATGATAGCTCTGACCAAAACCCGTGTTAAAAATGCAATGTGTTAAAATAGGCTCTTGCCGATCATAGATATTTCACAATAATTATGTCAAAAGCTGTAACACAAAAAAAGTATAAACAACCCCAGCCTTCAACATTTATCAACTCCATTGTAAAATATTGCACATGATAGTCTTCTCCTTCTGTCTGTACGGGAACGAAAAGAAACCACATCTGCTCAGACACTAGAGTGGGTGTAACTGCAAAGTGAGCTGCAGAAGCAGGTACTTGGCTCTGGTGCGATGCGACGCTCAAACAGCGTGAGCCCTGGCACTGCAGGGCACAACGGGGCGGGATGTCATCTCAATCACAAATCCTTGCCATCAGAGGGGACTGGCCTGGCAGGTATAACACAGGTGGGGAGCCCACACTACTTGAAGGACTTCGGAAATGCGTGTCAAAGGAGCCTGGTGTGGTCCCAACCTCGCCTTTTAAAAAGTCATCATCTTCATCTTCCACCACCTCCTGTCAAAAGAACAGATTATCAGTAAGATCACAAGTGGTGGTTTTAAAAGCTTCTAAGAATTCCTTTCCTCAGGAATGTGCTACTTCTGAAAAGGTGAATATATCACCATTTCAAAAGCATCCTGTGATGCACACTTCTTTATTAAAAACCACCCACACAACTGCTCATCACATATTGTCACTATTTGTTTGAAGTCTGATTTTTTAACAGATTTTAAGCTCAGTGAGGGCAGGTAACATAATATGTCATTCTTGCTCACTATTATAACCCCGTATCTAACACAATTTGAATGAAAGAATGAATGACCTCCTCAAATAAAGATAATGAGTTTTCCAATGATTACTTATGAAAAAAGAGGCACATTAAAGCTGATTTTTAATATGGAAATAATGTGCCAACAAAGAAATGAACAGTGATATTTATTATTATTGGATTCTAATTTTCTTCTTTGGCAATAACTGCCAGGCCTCCTCCTGAGGTGCACTGGAGGATACGCTGCAGATTTGCATCTTTACCACCTATCCGTGAAGATCTATAAAATTAATGTTAACCTCTACGAAATTACAACGTTACTTACAATGTCAACATAAGTAAATTTGAGATTGTTATCCGGTGGTAATGGTCAAGGAGTAAGATATAAATTTGTTGATCTGATTTTTAATTAACCTTCGCTTCCCAAAGTCAGCATGTGAAGTGTCTGGTTTAAACAATTCATCAAAAAACCCAGAAAACTTTTCATCAGAACATATCCTGAGCTTCGATTTTTTAAAGGCAAAAAGAATAAAATGTATTTTTTCAAGTGTAATATTGCTATTTACTATTTGCCTGTGATCTGTAACCACATAGGAGATTCTCAGAAAGTGTGTTGAGTCACAAATTTACCTTTTTAATGGGTTTCTTAAACTCCTGAAGCTCTTCTGCACTCATGTCTTCCCATATCTGATAAATGGGATCAATAAATTTCTTTGACCTGTCAACAAGGATCACATTTCAAGTTAAACACTACAGTGAAGATCACAATATATTTATCTCTTTTCTTACAAGACCTATTACACAAAAGGAAGTGAAAACTATGGCTCAAATAATAAGTGTCAAAAAATACTAAGTGTAAATACTGTAATTATGATTAATGTGGCTCCTTCTTTGTATAGATGAAGTATTACACTTACTGTTTCTCATCTCTTCATTTTTAAGTGTAACTGTTTCTCAACTTTGCAGAGACTGACAGTGAGTTACAATGTGTCCAAATGAAAACAACTGAATTGCTCTGGAACTTCCTCTTACATTCCCATAGTAATTTATTAAAAGAAGTCTAGGAAAAAGACTTATCTGGTTGCAGTCAACCAAGCCTTGGGGAAACAGATAATCTCAACTTGTTGTGCTATTAGTTAGAAAATAATTAAGCAAAAATCTTGCTTCCTTATACAAAGTCAAAGTTAAGTTCGGTTTGGTGATTTTTCAGAATTTTGCATCAAGATAAACCTTTTGGCTTTTGTTTATCCTGTGCAAAGGTATGGAATGTGGTCTTCAGAGGAAAGAAGTCACCTGGCAGAAAATTAAGAACCATGAAAAGACAGTATCCTCACTAGCCAGGCACCTTTATTCCCATTCCCTTATATGTTTAAACCAACAGATTTAAAGAAAAAAATAAAATAAAATAAAAATCCTTGGTGTCAATCTGGGTTCCTACTGGGGTAAAGATCGGCAAATGCTGGTGTGCCTATGATAGTCTGCAGCCTCTAACAGGCACTGTCTACTCTGGGCCTGTGAAATATGTATAAGGAGACTATGATACGAATAAACGGCTGGGAACGGCCGCTTATGGCAGAGAAATCCTAAATCCCAATTTGGGAAAAGCAAATACACCGCTGACAGGTTGTCTGTCTAAGAGTACCTACCTCTTCAGCACACATGGATCGAAGGGGAAGAAGGTATCAAGTGGGTTTGTGCAGGTTTGCACCGAGTCTCCTCCAGCTGTATTTCTAATAACTGGAAGCATCTGGCGATTATTCCTCTCAATAATAGTGTAGCAGAAGACTAGCTGGTACTTACTGTGAAACAAACAACCAACAAGATGGAGGCATCAGCATAAAGAAGTCACTCTGCATGGACATGCCCGGCCATGTGTGACAACTATCTTGTTATGCCAAACATAACAAGCACAAGAAAAAAGAACATAAAGCAAAAAGTAATGCTTTTAGGGTACGGTTCTCTGGGCCTATTTACAAGGCTGCTAAGGAGAAAGAAAATGTGGCTATCACTTTAAGAAAATGAAGTGGGCTTAGATTAATATGTATGACTCGCTAAAAATGTGTTCAAGGTAAAACTCTTTTAAGTTTGCATAAGTATACAGCTGAGCTTATTTTTACTATTTATAAAAGAATTAAAAGGTGAGTGAAAAAGGGATTCAAGATTTACTGAGAGACAGTAGCTGATGATGGAGAGACTTGACTGTTGAAGAAATTAGAACAGTACTGAAGAGGGACATGGGATGATTGAGCCATGATCTCAGAACATGATAAAGAAACAGGCTTAAGTGAGTGAAAACAGTTAACTACACTGGAGAACGCATGATAAAAACATGAGGACTACTATATTGTCAATTCCTCTGGTGGTAACTGCCATATGACTTGGCAACTTTAATCATTATCGGACAGCTTCTCTAAGATGAGGATTTAGCTCACTTCTGCCACTCTACTCCCCACTCTCATTCCCACAGTATTTATTCAGGTATATTTGCTCAAGTTCTCAGGTCACTCTTGTAATTTTAAAAACATATGTCTATTTCCATTCCAGTAGCCAAGGATCGGATTTGACTCCCTACTCCTGGTGGGAGGGTAAATTGGCAAAACCACGCTGGAGAACAGTTCGCAGTATCTGGTAAAGTTGACGAAGTGCATCTCCAACAACCCAGCAGCCGCACCTCTTGGTGACATTAGTGTGTGCCTGTGCGCCAGGACATACATAACATGCAACCATGTCCCTAAGCTGCTGTTCCAAATACTGAAATCCCAACAAGAGATTGTTTTAAAAAATTAATAGAACATTACACATCAGTTAAAATCAAAATACAGCTGTATGAGTCACTATGAATCTCAAAATCATTAAGCAAGCAAAAGCAGCAGCTATAGAACGATACATAAATTCCTTGACACAGACTTTTACTTCAATCTCTTGCTCTCACATTTCACTCTTAACCTCAAATCCCAATCGAGAACTTCTCTGACTGGTCTGCTCATGTGTCCTCAACTGTGTCCTCTACTCCCATCCCGAGAATATTCTGGGTGCAGCTGCCTCCGCTTTGCTTCATCCATCCTTACTCTTCCAGCTGCTTCCTGTCTTCCCGCAATGCACTGGAACCTTTCACCTGCAATACTTGTTGGTTTTATTCTTTTTAATTCTTTATCATTTTTGAGATCTCAGGAGATGGAGAATACCTTGAACTAGGTACCTAGCAAAGGAAAAATAAGGTTGCTGAATGAGAGCACCAAGCTGTCTAAGGGGGTTGAGGGTTGAAAGAATTACTTTTATTAGAGTAGAACACTCTTATCTGTTGAAGATTTTCAGCTCTGATCCTCTTTTGAATATTCTGATCAAATGCCCAAGGTCTCCAATTCACTTTCCACGTGTAGCAGAATAATTCTGTGACTGCTTATGAAGGAGTAAGGCTGCCTGCGTTCAAATTCTGGCTCTGCCCCCAGTCAAGCTATGACTGCACAGAAGTCATTTAATCTCTCTGTGCCTCCAGCTTCCTATTTATAAACAGGGGTTAATAACACAGTCATAGGATTATGTGAAATTTCAGTGGGTTCTATGTAGAGTACTTAGAACTGTGCCAGGCACACAGTAAAACTATGCATTAGCTGTAGCTTCAAGGCCTGAGACAATACAGTTCCTCAGTAAACCAATCTCTTATTGTTGATTTCTCATGTTCAGTCTATTTTTATTACTATTACAGGAGTCACTCTAATGACACCTTTGATTTGTTCCTCTTAGCTTAGTTAAATGCCTTACTTATTTCTAAGTGTCTACACTTCTGCTGAATTATCCTCTCTGGATAAAAATTAATGCCAATTTCCAATGCCACCAAACCAATATAAAAACAAGATCCACACTGCAGTGTTTCCAGTAAGTACTGGGTTATTAATTTTTAAATGTTTGTTATAAACTCATTTTACTAAATAATTTCACAGTAACTTAATGGAATTTTGTAATACCGATACTAACATAAATTTACTTTTAAGTAACTTCCACCAATAAGGTACAAGTAACTCACCTGGTAATTGCGGCAAAAAAGTTAACTACCGACGGCAGGCAAATCTTCAGAGGATTCAGCTGACTCATCACTATACGTTCAAAATTTAGACTTTGAAGGTACCTCAAACCTTTGATTAAAAATCGAAAGATTTTTAAGAAGGTACAAAGATAACAGTCTTCAAGCGGCACAGATTATTTCACATTATAAAAATGATTTTTAAAATGTTACTTGCAGAAATGCTTTAAATAAGGGTCCCTGTAGGCAGTCAGACAACATGGAGCCTGTAAGAACATCACGAGGCTGAACCACACCGCTTGAGGACTAAACCAACTTTTCTAAAGAAGATAGTGTCTTTTATTTTTATATTTTTATATATATATATTCTTACTAATCCCCCCCTTACTTCCTCCCCTGACCTACGGATGTTGCTGTCTCCCATTAAGAACTGGATCTCTGAAGGCAGGGCATCTCCTCCCACATGCTCACAGCACGCACCCAGGCAGGGCCTGGCGCACCCGAGGCCTGGCGCGCCCGAGGCCTGGTGCGCCCAGGGTTTGAGCCGTGACTCTGCTGGACCCAGGACCTTCTGCATGTAAAGCAGACGTGCTAACCACTACTCTATGGAACCACCCCAGTGTCTTCTTTTAAAGACCCAAGAAGTAAACACACATTCTTAGTGGCCTACAAGTTTGTATGACAATTTGAAAATCAGGTATATGAATCTTAGCATACACTGAATTTAGAGAGGAAAAAAAGACCATGTGATTTGATTTCAGCTAACAGTCATGAACATTAAGAAGTTGAGCTGAAAAAGTGAGTCTCCATTCCCTAGAGGCAATGCCAATACAGTGTGTAAATTTCTTGTTCCTGTATTCCATGCACTGTGCGTGTCTATGTATGTACGGATGTATGTATGTATATATATATATATATATATATGTCAACCCGACAAGCAACCAAAAAAAACCAGCAAGACTTGCAAGTCTTAAATTAGTACTAAGATTTAACATGTTTTTAAATGTGATTAGTTGTTTGCATTTCATATTTTTTTACAAGGATACTACGGATATAGAATGAAAAATTCCACTGTCTTGAAACTAATAAATAGAATCCTCTCCTATTTACTAAAAGAAAGACACCATACTTATTTTAAGAGGCAAGCGAACCAATCTGTGCTTAAGTATGTTTTGTTAAGAGATTCTTTGATGTATATTTTGATAAAAATGGGATGTCATGACTTATAAGAAATATATCCTCTTTAACCAGACTCTTACCATTTACATATATAAAGAAAAGCAGAGATTTTACTTACCTTGTGATAAAACCCTCTCCTACTAGTAGATCATAAAACTATTTTTAACCCCTATCTTACTTACATGACGTAAGTAAATATATATAATGCAACACATACAAGTTTCAGTTTAGAGCTGTGGTTCTCAACTTTGGTAACTGTAGCCCCGAGAGGACATCTGGCAGTGTCTGGAGACAGTTTTAGTTGTTACAACTGGGGGAGGAGGGGGGAGGTGTTTGCAAGTGCCCTCTAGTAGGTAGAGGGTGAGAGCTGCTGCTCACCACTTTATAATGCAAAGGTGACCCCCACGACAAAGGATTACCCAGTCCAAATGTCAGTGGAGAGATTGAGAAACTCTGGTTTAGAGGAAACAGCCTATTAAGCCATTTGAATTATTCATGACAGTAAACAAAACAATTTAACTGACTTAACTGAACACTGTTCTTGGGGACCACAACTAAAATATACTAACCCAATAAACAATCTTTATCTACAGATTCGAATCTTCACATAAAGGCGCATAATCGTTATGACCACAGCTTTACAGCCATCCTCACTCTCACCCTTTTCAATTTCTAATCCTGTCAATAAATTATTTCTCTGTGCTCTGGTCTCCTGGGTTAAGTGAGAATGACACCCGCCCTCCATGGGCCGTCACGAGGACAGGGCGGGGACACAGCTCTGAGCATGGCGCTGGCACAGCGCAAGTGCCTGGCCTCACCTCTGAAGAAGAGCATCTGCACATCTTACAATCACTCTAGACACCACCCTCTAAAGCCGGGGTTCGCAACCTCAAATTCATCAGCTGTTGAGAGGAGGCTTAAGGTGTTTTTAGGGACCTATAAGCTGTTTGAAATTATAACAGTTTGAGTTAATGTGTGGTTTTCTGACTTTATAGTTTTCATTAAATTCTCAAGAGTAACGAATCTCCATTCTAAAGGGTGACTGGTCAGTATACAAGGAAAACTCAGTTCACACCCACCAAACCCAAATCACTGACCTTCCTTCAGGTTTCCACTTAAAAGCTGCTTGTGTCTAAAAACAAAAGTGTAGAACACAGCTTGGCAGGCTGAGTAAAACGGTCCATGGAGAGCAACATCACAAAACAACTTCGTTCCGGAATCCTGGTTATTAAGGTATATGTGTAGCCAGTTAACCAAAAGATCTAGGCATGATTTTACAGTACTAGAGAAAAGAAAAATTCAAGTCAGCTCCAGCGGTTCATAAAAAAACTACAGTGACATAAAAACACACAACTGCCTCTCATTATAAGGAAAGTCAGTCCACAGGTTTCTTTATGCATTACCCATGGGCACAGAGAGGAAGCAAAGGAAGGAGGAGGATTGGGTGGATGGGAAAGGCAGCCTTCCAATTACAAAGTAGAGCACACGAACAGGCCCTAGGAACAACGGGAAGGCCCTAAGAATGCCTGCAGTCTTGAGGGATAGAGAACAGGTTCCTCTTATCAACTCACATGGCCTCCCGGCCCTCTCAGGGGGATATGGCCAAAGGTAGGGAACATTTACCAACAGCGTACAAGGGAAAGACAGTCAGGTTGACTTCATTCTCTACATCCTAATGAAGTCCCATGTCTACAATTTAGGACAGAACAGCCAGACAGCTTTTCATTGTTGGCGAAGGGTTAACAGCCTCCCTGCCCAAAGGTATCTTCATGGATCACTGGAAGAAACAGGCCCAGGCTGACCTCCTACACAGATCTATGACCTTTAAAAGGATTTTTCTTCAGCTTTAAGATACAATTGATTCAGGATGCGAATAAAAAAAGACAAATACAATCAAAACAGTACAAAACACTGCACACTATCTATGGACACAACTGGACCTTCATGTTAAAGTGCAACCATAACCATACAGGACAGATGACAAAAGCTTTGCGCATGAAGTGTTCTATCTAAAAAAGGAGACTTTTTTTCTGAAATTGCCTCTTGGAAATATAAACATCTTGCAGAGAGAAGGGAAACAGATTTTTTCATTCAAAGACTGACCAAAAAAATAAGGCAGATATTTCTCTGACTTAAGACAATGCTATAATCTTTTTAAAGAATGATATGAAAAAGCACTTGGAAAATCAGGTTACTTACATAAGAGGAATAAATTTAGCTCTTGCCAAAAGGCTTCCAATATAATTTCCAGCAGCTTGCCTGATGATGGCAGGATTATTTGGATCCTGTAATTTTTTCCAGAGATGTTCCAGAAATGCTTCTGCAAAGCCCTGTAACAAGAGGTGTTGGTCTGATCTTATTTAATGCATAAGCTACTCTAGCTAAACGAACCCTAAGATTTTAACTCACCAATGTGGGAAAATGTCTCTGTTATATTGTTAAATAATGAATACAGTTATCATCATTCTTATTTTTAAATACCTTGAGATAATAGATGTACCTCCAACTTCTCCCACATAGCTCTTTTAAAAAGCTATTAACACATACTTTGGTGCAGACTGAGTTTAACCTTCTTATCCCTAATACTCCCTTGACTGTTCCAGGAAACTACAAAATAGTTGCAAAGGAGAAGAAAGTCTTTGGTATTTTTTTTTTTTAAATAGAAAGCAAAACCTAAAGTTTTAAAATTCTGGATTAAAAAGTTGATTTGGGCTAGCTAGGCTCAACTGAGAGAGAATAAAAGAAATAAACAGTTAAATATCCTAAATGAGATTTTAATAAAGAAAGGCTTGAATTAAAGGGCAGGGTACCACCTAGTGGACCAAATGCAGGATGACAATTTCATAGCACTCAACTGATCTGGCAGGAAGCTGCAGTGCCCTCTGCTCTTTCCACCAATTTTTAAGGGAAAATCATGGCCGAGAATAAAATAAAATGATGTTAAGAACATACTCACCAATTTAAAGCTACAGAGATAAAACATGAAAAACTGTACATGGCAGGAGGCATGGGTGGGCAACAGGAGTTTGTCAAAGATAGTTATGAGATCTCGATATAAATCCTTTGTTTTGTTGATATCAATCTTACCTACAGAGAAAATATGGCATTTCAGTTTTATAAATACATTATTTTCAAGCCACCAGTTTCATTTACTAAATTTTAAAAAGAAAACAATACAATAAGAAATACATCCTCATCCATTAAGCTACAATTAAAACAAAATGCCATTTTTATTTTGCAGATTCCCTTTTTAATAATCCTGTTATAGCTCTCTTTGCTGAAAACCCATACTATCTTATCTCTTCACCTACCAAATTCCACAGGGCTGAGCCTTCCTTAGCACAGCCCATCCTCCTCTAAAATGTACTTCCAATAAATCTTACTTTTTCTAAAAAATAAAAAAATAAAAAATAAATAAAAATCTAGCATTGGTAAGGAAGCACAAACACATAGCTATAATCCCATAAATGTAAACCCATCTATAAGGATAATTTTACAATTCATAAGGCAGAAGTCCTTTGATCCAGTAAGTCTACTGCTAGGCATTTATCAAAGCAAAAAATTGAAAATATATATACAAGGATATTCATTACACTCTTATTTATAATGGCAAAAAAGGGAGGGGAGGAATAAAAGAGACCAGTTAAATCCACATGCTCAACAAAAACTATTTTAGAACAACGAACAGTATGAGAAAATGTTCAGCTGGTGAAAAGGGCGGATTATGAAACACTAAACATAGTGTGACCTCCAAATCCACTGAAAATCACACTAATACACATGCTAACAGAAAAGGAAAAAACATCAAAATGCTAATAACAATTCTGTGAC